TGTTAGGTGGTATGTTTAAATTGAATGTACAGACACTTATCCCTAAGATTAATGAAAAAGCTTCTTCTTCTACTTATATGCTTGAGTCCCCTAATTTCTAGCATGGTAGATTGGGTCATGTAAATTTTGACTCTTTACGTAGATTAATCAAGTTAGATCACATACCATCTTTCAAGATTAATCCACAACACAAGTGTGAAACTTGTGTAGAAGTAAAATTGACAAGGTCTTCTTTTCATTCTATTGAAAGAAGTACCCAACCTTTGAGTTTAGTGCATAGTGATGTGTGTGACTTGAAAGTTGTACAATCACGTGGTGGCAACAAGTACTTCATCACTTTTGTTGATGATTGCACTAAATACTGTTATGTGTATTTGCTTAAAAGCAAAGACGAGACTATTGATGAATTTATTCTTTTTAAGAATGAAGTTGAGAATTAATTAAGCCGGAAAATCAAGGCATTGAGAAGTGATCGTGGTGGTGAGTATGAATCCCCGTTTGCTGAGACTTGTGCTCAATTTGGGATTATTCACCAAACCACAACGCCTTATTCGCCTCAGTCAAATGGTGTTACTGAGCGGAAGAACAGGACGCTGAAAGAGATGATGAATGCAATGTTAATAAGTTCTGGGTTGCCACAGAACTTATGGGGGGAAGCAATTCTCTCCGCAAATTATATTCTTAATAGAACACCACGGCAGAAAGTGGACAAGACTCTATATGAGTTGTGGAAAGGTCACAAGCTTTCATATAAATACCTACGAATGTGGGGGTGTCTTGCAAAAGTGGCGGTACCTACACCCAAGCGGGTTAGAATAGGTTCGATGGTCAGCCGAGGTAACCGTTTGATCGGCAGGAAGGCCAATCACAGGAGGTGCCCCGGGCTCGGCTTTGCCGAGATGCCGCCTAGCCCGGACCTCCCTGGGCCTAGCCAGTGAAGTGCTTGGGTATGAAGCACAGCACGACCGTGGATAGAGAAGCTCGGCTACCGAGCTCCAACTGAGAGGGGAGGCAGTTGGGTTTAGGTGACGTTCAGCAAGGTTTATGCTAATAGATGGGATAGCAGAGCCACGTGTCGGGAGATGACTGGGAGTGGATATGAAGCGCAGAGGGTATATAAGCATGTCTGCGCCCCCCATACGGGAGAGACGAACATTTTGTAAGGAAATTCTTACACTCAAACACTCCTCTCTCTCTCTCCATATCCAAAAGTGTGTGCTAACTTGATCGTCGGAGGGTTTTTCCGGCCACACACCGCCGGGTAGCTCACCCTTATTGGCTTGCAGGTGATCGAACAGAGATGGAACTCGGAAGAAAGGAGTACGGGCTTGCCGGAATATTTGCTCCCCGTACAATATATATACAATAATTGAAGCCAACACTTGTACTAGGCTCCGTTTGGCAAGAGCTAAACGGGGCTTTTTTGACTATTTTAGCCACAAAAGACAAAATAGGCTATTTTAGCCACAAAAAACAAAATATCACATCCAACCCATAATCATTACGTTCTTCTCTCACAAAAAAAGTCAAAAAAACTAAAAAGTCAAAAAGTCCTTCCCAAACTAAACTTTTTAGCCCAGGCTAAAATAGTCAAAAAAAAGTCAAAAAACCAAAAAAGTCAACTCCAAAAAAATCAAAAAATCAAAAAGCCAACTCACTTCCCAAACGGATTCTGAGAGTTTTACTTGCAAGTATTGATTTAAGTATCGAAATATCCCGCTATTTGCAGTTTCGAAAAATTCAAGTTGTGGAGAGGTCATAAAAGTTCACCAACATTAATTCATACCTCATATTTATCTAGTGTCGTCCACCTATGTTTCCTACACAACAAACTAAAGATGATTTTATTTACACACCACACATTACAGTATCCATTATTTCTCATTTTTTTTATTACAATTCTATTCCTAAGTTAATTTATATTTTTATACAAAAAATTCAAATCCTACTTTCTCATTGCACAAATTAGCCTATCACTCGTGCTATGCACGGAATAATTATAGATATTTATATTTATTTTAATTTGTTTTAATATATAAATTATGTTTTTCAAGATTTTTTATAAATATAATTTAACAATCTTATCACTAACTATAGTGTACAGGAGAAATTAAAAAGGCTACTGCAGTAACTATGCACAAGTTGTATCTATAATTATTTGTATGAGAGAATTTTAAATGCTAATAAAAAATTTTGACCAAATTAATAAATGCAGGCATGTAGATTGAAAAAAGTTAATAAATGTTGATTTGGAGATTTTGACCAAATCAATAAATGTTGAGTATTTTTTTTTTTTTTAAATCAAAAATTTTAAAAATTAAGATTGAGAGATTGGAGCTCCCACAAGGCTTGGGGTTTAGAAATCCCATTTTTCTTAATATATTTACAATTATCTATATATGTGAATTGCGATTTTTAAATGTCTTTTTTTAAAAAAAAAAATATTTTTTTTTCCTTTTTTATATTATATTAAAGTTTAATATTTTGATAATAATCATATGTGTTAGATTTTTCAAGGAATTAAATGTCTTCTTTTTTTATTATATTATATTAAAATTTAATATTTTGATAATAATCATATATGTTGGACTTTTCAAGAAATTTTTTTTTATGTTTGTTAATAAATGCTAAATTTTTTTTTTTAAAAATCAAAAAATTAAAAAATTTAGATTGAGAGATTGGAGCTCCCACAACATTTGTTAGTGGGGCTTGTTGTATATTTGTATTGCACTCTCCTTTAGCTCTCTTAAAACTCAAAATCTGAGTTAGACAATTGAGAGAGAGAGAGAGATCGCAGGGCAGTGTGGCCGTATCCCGACAACATCCCTCCATTCCATCACACGATCACCGTTGTAGTCCAATGACCTACCTCCTTTTCTTCTTTGTTCTGTGTGTGTGTGTGTGTGTGTGTGTGTTTCGCAGCCGGTCTCGAAACCTTCACCCTAGATGTAGGGTTTTCAGAGAGCGGTTTGCGATCTGGCAGCGATGGTGGGAGATAATGGCAGCAGCGGTGGGTTGCGATGAGGAGAAGAATAAGAATAAGAAGAGAAGAAGAAGAAGAAGAGGGAGCGGTGGTGGGTCTAAATCGAGGTTGGGGGAGTGCTGCGTTGAGAAGGTAAGGAGGAGAGGGGTAGTGGCGACCGCCGCCAACGGTGGCCACAGACAGGTTAGGGTTAGTTTAGGTTTGGGATTTAGAGTCAAAAGAAGATAAGGGTGATTTAGAATTTTTTTAAAAATTGATGTTGTAAATGAGAAGAAATTAAGGAATTGAAAATATGTGTGGTGGGTACTGAAAAATTAGTGTATAGTGAAAGTTTTAGTGGTGTGTTAATAGAATTATCCTAAACTTAATATTTTCTTCTCCTATGTAAAATGACAGTGTTACCCATCAGGATGCTTTCTCTTCCACCAAAACCTAACCCAAAATGGTGTCCAAATTATTTGACATCTAAATCGAATATGCTTAACTCATTAGTTCATTCGTATCGTAAGTCAAGGCCTCCTTGATACCATTGTCTCTTCCTTTTCTTTTCTTTTTTTCCTGATTTTTAAAATAATATTTACACACAAAGAATAAATCATGGTTACTTCTTTTTGTTATATATCACTTATTTTGAAAACAAATTTAACTCCTTCCTCCCTCGTCTATAACCTGTAGAAAGCAAATAAACACATTTTTGGAAGACCAAACATATTACAAAACATTGTGTAAATATGTTTTTGTTTCCCCTAAATGTTATCAAATTCAACTTAAACTAAGGTTTCTAAATCTCATGCAAAAAAATCAGAGTCCGATTCAGTGAACAAGAAAGTACCAAACCATAATCCAGAAGATGCAAATCTAGATGCCCAAAAGAACCACAAAGCAGATTATGATGTGTCCACACCTACATACCCATAAACTTTGTTCGGTAGTTTATGGAGAATAAAAAAAACATGCAATTCAAATTCAAGTACCCGTTTGACAACTTAACTTTCTGATTTTTTTTGAAGTGAAAAAAATTAATATGTTTAGAATAAATAAATAAAAAAAAAAAGAGGCCAGTAGCCAAATGAGTCCGAAGTCATGTTTGTTTGTTGAATTAGTCTATTCCCATGGCCTATAAATTAAAACAAACGTGGTCCCAATGTATTGTGGTGGGGTAATAAATTTGGACCACATTGACATTATTGAGTAAAATGCTTATAATGTATGATTATGAAGTACACTCTAGAAATCAATTATGAGTGATTTGCTCGAGCAGCTAACATTATGAAAATTTTCTTTTTCTTTTCCCTCGACGAATTCAACATCCAAGCACAACTTCAGAAAAAATGAGTTCAGAAACAGAATTCTCAACAAATGAGACAGTGAGGCTCAGTTTAAGAACAGAGTTTTTCAATGATATGTCAAACGATCTAGCCAAATGGGAAAAGGGCATATTTGAGCCGGAGGAAAAAAAATTAGCTCACTTCATTTCTATTTTCCCTTTCCTTTTATTTTCCTCTACAAATCCACAACAAAGCAGTCTCTAAGAAAAATGAAAGTTCAAAACGAGTTTCCAAACTTGTGCTATCAGAAAATACTAATTCCCTAATGAATTATGTATTGGTACGCACGTTTCAAAATATGGTTTACTTTCGTTTCAAAACGGTAAATTTAATAATATGAAACGATCCCAAATTTTTTTTCAATATATTTCCTTAATATTGTGTTTAGTTGGGGGATTTGAGAAAATATTTGCAAAGAGAAAAGAAAAAGGTAAATGAAATGTAAATAAAATATACCTACATTTCATCTAGTTTTACATATCTTTATCTTTTTTTTTTCCCCTTCCCTTTCCAAATCCCCAAACCAAACAAGTTTACTCCTATCGTACTACATTTTAAAGCATGTGACGTATCACGTTCCTGTTCCACGTAATTGTTCCAGGTAACATAGTTCCAAACAAAAATGAACAGCTAACCTTAGTTGCCACACATGTATGCTGTCCTATTTAATGAGTTGATTCATGATAAATTTGAGATAATAGATACATTTTATGATTTGCCAAATGATATACACATTGTTAGTTGATGTCATGCATTACAATAATATGTTTTCAATAACAAGGCATGTTATGCAATCCAATGCAAATAAAGATGTTTTAAAGATTGTCCATGACTACACAGATCACTAGGAAAGCAGAGATTGTTTTTCAAAAACGCACTGGCTAAGAACAAACAAATGCAAAACCCAAAACCTCATAGAATTTTTTTGTTCACTCTCATTGATTTCAAAAAGCTTGAGAATTAGGAAGCAAATGAGGGCAATGCTCAATCTAACTGGAAACTTACATCATTTTGATTCTTTTATAGTTTGAAGCAGAATCTCGGATACCTTTTCCTGTCACAGAATATGGTGCTGATGCTGAACGAAGAGAGGGAGACTTGTCAATATATGCATATCTTTCATTGCCATTCCAGTACAAAATCACCCGATTAGTACAGGCATGTGACCAACTATCACCTGTTGAGCATGATTTAAATAAATTTTTTTTAAAAAACAAATAACTGTTAGACAAATTAGACAGCACGATAGTTGGATCCAATTGGAATGAAGGTTACCTAGTGCAAGGGTTAAATGAAATGAACCGTCTGAATATTTAGTAGTCACCTGATTCAAGAGAACAACCTGTTTTGATGGGGGTGAGAAAAGGATTAAAAAAAGTACAACAAACCTGTAATAGTGGGAAAATGTGCATTCATTTATTAAGTATAAACTATACACGAGTAATTTACCACAGGCATTCGGTAGATGACAAGTTTCGGCGATGATAATAAAACCATAATATATATGACTCTGAATAAGTATAATCCTATAAAAGGCAATTGACAAATGGGTGCAAAAATACCAAGATTTTAATCCTTTGGTAGTATGCTGAAAATAATTTTCTCCAGGGGCCTTGGTAAACATATTAACAAATTGATAAAATATCAAAAGAGGAAAAAAATATCTTCTGTAAACAAAAGGAAAACTTGATATACAACTTTCTTCTCCGACCAATTGAAATTCCATAAACTTGGGCTGGCATGAAAAATTTAAAATAAAAATAAAGTTTAGGACTTGACAGACATAAAATTCTTACCGCCAAACTGTACTTTTTTGAAAGTTTCATCAACTTTAAGGCTATTCCACTGAGTAATCTAATTCTGAGCACCATGTCCTCAAAATCTTGACGGAAGTGGAAAGTCACACTATCAATAACAACGACCTTAACCTGTGAAAACGTTAGGATACTGAAACAGTGACATGAAGGATAAACAACACATATACTACAGGAAACCAAAGTAACAATAATAACAGTTAGAAAATAAGCTTTTGCTTATAAAAAATGAGTCAAAACAACAGAATATCAATGGGTTGTTAAGGTTTTCATAATGAAAGGCTTAGGTATATTTTGTTCCCAATATTAGAAAGAGAAGAGAAATATAGATGAAGAAACATAATGTATATACATATTTAATATGTAGCCAGGAAAAGCAGTTGATGATATTCTCCAATTTGAGACAACTACAATCTTTTGCAAATCCATAAACAATGTTTTCGCCATCCAGCAAAACAAAATTAGGAAGATGCATGTGTTTTCATGGTAATTGTTAGGAAAATGCTATATATTATAATCTCTTTTCTTATTAGATTTTTTCATCTCCAGCACAATTGAGTGGGTCCCGTGTACATTTATTAATGTGGGACCCATTGCCTTGTGTCTAGGATGGATAAAATGGGGTAAGAAATGGGATTACTCTAATTGTTATCATTGAAATTTTGAATGTTGAGGCCAATCTGAAAGTTATAGCGCAGTGAAAATTTGAACTTTCAAAAATCAATTGGTAAAGCTAAGGAACATGGATTAAGAGAAAATCATCATGAGAAGAGAGCACAGAATTGCCTATAATTTGTAAGATACAAAAACCAGACAGATGCAATCTTCCACTAAGATGCTACATGGCACATATTTGAAAGAAACACATACATTGTATACCTACATCTTTATGTTCCAAGATGAATTTCTCCAAGTAATTGATCACAGCAATTTGCTCTGTGTAACTACAGATGCGAAAATATAATATATTGTTTAGGAAATCCTTGGGCTGCATCTGAACTTGACAGGCTTGAAAATTTTTCCGTAAGCTACGATATTCCAACACATCCTCCACACATGCTTCAGCAATTTGTAAAGCACGTTCCACCATAAAGCTGCCTTCTGTATCTACAAACAGAAAAGCAAAACATTTTGAACTCAAAGCAAGGAGAACAGTGGAGTAAGTATCCGCAGGTCATTCGTGAACTTATGTTATGACACTTACCTATATAAATTGCCTTGCCTCCAAGACCACCACAATCAACTGGAATTTGAACATTCACTGCAAGTTGAATCCTGTAAATTCTATTATATCTTAATGGCAAAAGAAAACCCAAATTAACACATACAAATTTAAGATGGCAACAACATGTACCCCAATTGTGTTTTACCAATGCCTGGAACTCCACCTATCAAGATCAAGAAAACACTCTCTTCACTAGCAGAAGACAAGTCTAGTGTATGTGCACAATAAATGAACCTACAAACTTAATGAACCAATGAGAGGACATAGTAATAATGGGAAAATAAAGGAAAAGATAACTAACCAATTTCAGTTACTTCTTTGCAATTTATTCCTCCGCCCAGGATGTTATCCAAATCTGCACAGGAAGTAGTAATGCATCTAGACAAATCCTCCTCATGGAACATGTCCCAGGCAGTCTGTGCACCTACATAAGATGTAATGTAAGAAACTACTTGAATGTTAAAAATGAAAATAAAGAAAAGATTTAATGTTTAGGAAATGATTGATGAAGAAAAAGAAACATAAATCATTGCTCAAGTGAACCACATTTCAATTGAACACAATACTGAATGAAAGTTTTGCTAAAAGAATACAAGGATGTTCTCAAACTTTTCATCTAGTAGTAATTGTACCAATTCTACATTCCTTTATAATTATACTAGTAGCAGGCTTATCCTTGACTCTTGTTATAACAACATGCCATGACTACTCCCTGTGCTTGATTCAAAACAGCAAAAAGTTCTTTCAATTCATGAAAAGTAAAGGGACAGACAAAACAAAAGAATTATATTACAAGAATAGAGTAAATACCAGTAACAATAGCGTGACTTCCATCAGAATTGTCCAGTCTACCACAATGCGATGCAGCCTTCAGAATTTCAGAAGCCTCACTTGTTAGAATTTCCCATCTTTACCTTCACCTACTCCACTACACACTCCACTTCACCTATCTCCACTTCACCACACACTCCACTTCACCTAACCCACTATCACCTCCACTACACCTACTACCACATTTTCTTCTATATATAGATTGTATAGGAATTGTAATATAACTATCTTGTAATCAATCAATCAATATACATCAATTTTAACTATATGACTCTGAATAAGTATAATCCTATAAAAGGCAATTGACAAATGGGTGCAAAAATACCAAGATTTTAATCCTTTGGTAGTATGCTGAAAATAATTTTCTCCAGGGGCCTTGGTAAACATATTAACAAATTGATAAAATATCAAAAGAGGAAAAAAATATCTTCTGTAAACAAAAGGAAAACTTGATATACAACTTTCTTCTCCGACCAATTGAAATTCCATAAACTTGGGCTGGCATGAAAAATTTAAAATAAAAATAAAGTTTAGGACTTGACAGACATAAAATTCTTACCGCCAAACTGTACTTTTTTGAAAGTTTCATCAACTTTAAGGCTATTCCACTGAGTAATCTAGTTCTGAGTGCCATGTCCTCAAAATCTTGACGGAAGTGGAAAGTCACACTATCAATAACAACGACCTTAACCTGTGAAAACGTTAGGATACTGAAACAGTGACATGAAGGATAAACAACACATATACTACAGGAAACCAAAGTAACAATAATAACAGTTAGAAAATAAGCTTTTGCTTATAAAAAATGAGTCAAAACAACAGAATATCAATGGGTTGTTAAGGTTTTCATAATGAGAGGCTTAGGTATATTTTGTTCCCAATATTAGAAAGAGAAGATAAATATAGATGAAGAAACATAATGATATACATATTTAATATGTAGCCAGGAAAAGCAGTTGATGATATTCTCCAATTTGAGACAACTACAATCTTTTGCAAATCCATAAACAATGTTTTCGCCATCCAGCAAAACAAAATTAGGAAGATGCATGTGTTTTCATGGTAATTGTTAGGAAAATGCTATATATTATAATCTCTTTTCTTACTAGATTTTTTTCATCTCCAGCACAATTGAGTGGGTCCCGTGTACATTTATTAATGTGGGACCCATTGCCTTGTGTCTAGGATGGATAAAATGGGGTAAGAAATGGGATTACTCTTATTGTTATCATTGAAATTTTGAATGTTGAGGCCAATCTGAAAGTCATAGCGCAGTGAAAATTTTAACTTTCAAAAATCAATTGGTAAGCTAAGGAACATGGATTAAGAGAAAATCATCATGAGAAGAGAGCACAGAATTGCCTATAATTTGTAAGATACAAAAACCAGACAGATGCAATCTTCCACTAAGATGCTACATGGCACATATTTGAAAGAAACACATGCATTATATACCTACATCTTTATGTTCCAAGATGAATTTCTCCAAGTAATTGATCACAGCAATTTGCTCTGTGTAACTGCAGATGCGAAAATATAATATATTGTTTAGGAAATCCTTGGGCTGCATCTGAACTTGACAGGCTTGAAAATTTTTCCGTAAGCTACGATATTCCAACACATCCTCCACACATGCTTCAGCAATTTGTAAAGCACGTTCCACCATAAAGCTGCCTTCTGTATCTACAAACAGAAAAGCAAAACATTTTGAACTCAAAGCAAGGAGAACAGTGGAGTAAGTATCCGCAGGTCATTCGTGAACTTATGTTATGACACTTACCTATATAAATTGCCTTGCCTCCAAGACCACCACAATCAACTGGAATTTGAACATTCACTGCAAGTTGAATCCTGTAAATTCAATTATATCTTAATGGCAAAAGAAAACCCAAATTAACACATACAAATTTAAGATGGCAACAACACGTACCCCAATTGTGTTTTACCAATGCCTGGAACTCCACCTATCAAGATCAAGAAAACACTCTCTTCACTAGCAGAAGACAAGTCTAGTTTATGTGCACAATAAATGAACCTACAAACTTAATGAACCAATGAGAGGACATAGTAATAATGGGAAAATAAAGGAAAAGATAACTAACCAATTTCAGTTACTTCTTTGCAATTTATTCCTCCGCCCAGGATGTTATCCAAATCTGCACAGGAAGTAGTAATGCATCTAGACAAATCCTCCTCATGGAACATGTCCCAGGCAGTCTGTGCACCTACATAAGATGTAATGTAAGAAACTACTTGAATGTTAAAAATGAAAATAAAGAAAAGATTTAATGTTTAGGAAATGATTGATGAAGAAAAAGAAACATAAATCATTGCTCAAGTGAACCACATTTCAATTGAACACAATACTGAATGAAAGTTTTGCTAAAAGAATACAAGGATGTTCTCAAACTTTTCATCTAGTAGTAATTGTACCAATTCTACATTCCTTTATAATTATACTAGTAGCAGGCTTATCCTTGACTCTTGTTATAACAACATGCCATGACTACTCCCTGTGCTTGATTCAAAACAGCAAAAAGTTCTTTCAATTCATGAAAAGTAAAGGGACAGACACAACAAAAGAATTATATTACAAGAATAGAGTAAATACCAGTAACAATAGCGTGACTTCCATCAGAATTGTCCAGTCTACCACAATGTGATGCAGCCTTCAGAATTTCAGAAGCCTCACTCTCTGAAATTTGCAGATCTGCTTAATGATAGTCAAAACAAAGATAAAGAAGTTAGTTATCATAAAAAATGAAAACAATTCTATACAATTGATAGTCAACCATACAGAAACCACACAAAATACTTCTACAGAGTCATTGCCAGGGAAAGAAAAGCAATGAAGAGAGAGAGAGAGAGAGTCTACTTCAATGGACTGCAAGTCTACAACATAAACAGTCTGTCATTTTTTGATAAATAAATAAATTTTATAGAAGAATGAGCATCAAGAAGATGCTAAAGAATACAAAAACGGGAACCTACACACAAAAAGGGGAAACCAACTAGCCAATTAGATCATCAATGAAATCTAAAAAAGTAAACAAATCCGGATCCACTCGCCCTGACACCCAACCACATAAATTTTAAGAAACCTATAGAAAGAAAAGCAATGAAGAGAGAGAGAGAGAGAGTCTACTTCAATGGACTGCAAGTCTACAACATAAACAGTCTGTCATTTTTTGATAAATAAATAAATTTTATAGAAGAATGAGCATCAAGAAGATGCTAAAGAATACAAAAACGGGAACCTACACACAAAAAGGGAAAACCAACTAGCCAATTAGATCATCAATGAAATCTAAAAAAGTAAACAAATCTGGATCCATTCGCCCTGACACCCAACCACATAAAACTTTAAGAAACCTATCTTCTAACCAGGATACAAAATGAACAACTCCCTGGAAAACACGCCTGTTTTGCTCTAGCCACAACAACCACATTAAGCACAAAGGAGCCAAAGCCCAAGCCTTGCGCTGCTGCTTCCCAACCTCACCCCCACTCCAACTCCGGAGAACCTCCCACACCCCTCCCTGCTGCACCCACACAACTCCGAAAGTAGAAAAAACAAGCATCCATAAACAATCATTGTTATAAGAGGTCAACTAATGAAGGAACAATAATGACACAAATTCAGCTATACTTGACCAACACTGTAATCAAAATTTGAAACATATTAGGCTCCACATATTTTGATGGAATACATTAATAGAAAACAATTCCAGTTTTGGTTGCTTAAAATGTTTACAAAACATTCAGGGAAATGGAATTGAATTGCGCCAACTGAAAATGTAATTCATTTTCATATAGACAATCAAGGCTTGCAAAGGAACTCCAAGGTGTTGGCCTAGGGGTGTGCTCCCTTCAAGGTCTCAAATTCAAAACCTACTAGGTGCAAACAATTTCTGGGGGTCAGTCCATACGGGGCTTTACTCCGGCTTTAATTGGGCCCCCTCCCAGTTGACAGTGGGAATGGCCCCCGATTAGTCGGTCTAGTGGGCCAGAAACCAAGTTGTCAAAACAAAAAAAAAAAACAAAAAAAGGGTTGCAAAGGCACTGGGGTGATTTGGAAATTGGAATATGGAAGTAGCACAGTGAATTACACATAGAATAGATGAAAGTAAGGAATTAACGAGTACGAAAAACATTTCTACATAAACTACATGGGAGGTTATACTATCAAAACGAATTCTTATAAATTCTTCAGCAACTTCAATTAATTACAAGGAGGCATTAAAAAAATTAGAACACCCAAAATTATTTTCTCTGGAGAATAATTAAATTATAAATATAAATTAGTGGGTTATTAGTTGATCAGACCAAAGAATCAAAACATACCCAAATACATAGAAATTGGAAGAGTTATGTTCACAGAGAGCATACTTGAGCAAAATATCAAACAATTGATAGGCAATCACTTGTACACTAAAAATCAAATTCATACAAAGCAAGTAATAAGACCAATTTCAATACCATCATTCATAAACGAAGTATGATATATATATATATATATTTACAAAGTATATGTATATGAATATTGACGATGAGGAAGTGGTACCTCGAGCAAGGTCGGAGGGAGAGAGGGAGGAGAGTGAAGAGAGAGAAGTGTAGCCTGCTGATATCAGCTTCCCTCTCTGCGTTGCTGATACTGCTAGCCTCAATACCTCCATTTTCTCTCTCTCTCTCTACTTTCTCTCTCTTGAAACCCTTTATAGCGGTTTCGCGCGCTCACATCATTTTGGCGCCGAAACCGATGATATGGAAATTGGGGAATAAATTGTTGAAGGTAGCTTCTCTCAGGTCCTGTTTAGCACATGTTTGGCATAAACGTTTTAGATAATAAAAAAATATGATATTTTAATAATTTTTTAATTTTTTATGAAAAAATGTATAAAAAATAAAAAGCATGATGTAATAAGTTATAGTAACTTTTTAACTTTTTGACTAAAATATGAAATTTTCAACCAAGGCCAAAATAGACTAAAAAATCAATAAGACAAAATATCACATCTAAACTATAATCATTTTATTTTTTCTCTCATAAAAGTCAAAAAAACTCAAAAACTCATCTCAAACAAGATTTTTTAGCCTTAACCTAAAATAGTTAAAAACTAAAAAGTCAAAAAGTTAACATACATCTTAAATGAAGGCTTATTGACTTTTTTATTCTTTAGAGTTATATTATTTCTTTATTTTTTTTTACGTTTTTTGAAAAAAAAAATTAAAAATTAACTTTTAACTACTTAGAATAAATCTTTATTTGACTTGATAATTTATTAATAAAAAAAAATTATGAAATTAGAAATATTATAAAGAGAGTGAGGAAGCTAATGAAAGTTCATGGGCTTGACAAAGTACCGGGAAGTAGCCTAGTTGAGGTTGATGGTGCCATTCATGAGTTCATCATCGGGGACAAGACACATCCACGTTCTAAAGAAATATATTCAAAACTTGAAGAGATTTGTAGGCAATTACAAGTATACGGTCATAACCCAAGAATCAAAGAAGTGTTGTTTGACATAGAACAGGAAGAGAAGGAAGATGCCCTCTCATACCACAGTGAAAGGCTAGCGATTGCTTTTGCTCTCATTGCTTCTGATTCCAATGCACCTATTCGGATTATAAAGAACCTTCGAGTATGTGGCGATTGCCATGCTAGTACTAAGCTTGTTTCGAGGATTTATGGAAGGGAAATTGTAGTGAGAGATCGGACTCGATTCCATCATTTCAAAGATGGGAGTTGTTCTTGTTTAGATTATTGGTAGTATTACTTGGTAATGTTATACTTGAACTGGTCCAGAAAGTTTAGTTGCATTTGTAGAGGTTTTGTTAATTTATTGGTGAAATTGAAATGTCAAAGTTTTGTTCTCCATATCTCCCACAAAACTAGGAGGGGCCTTTGCCTTTTATATTTGTAGTAGTTGATGAACAGGTACTAGTAGTGTAGTTGGCATAAGGTGGATTACAATTTTAGGATCATGATATCCAAGTTAGTGTTGGTTAACAACAATGGTGGTGTTTGGTAACGGGCTATAGTGGTGGTTGAGTTAGCAAGTTGTTAAATTAAATTGGTTGCAATTTATTGCGGTGTTTGGTTATGTTTCAAAGTGATATTGATTACGACTCAATTGTGGTAGCTTTGATTATGAAAAAACAGTCTTGGATTATGCCTTAAAATAGTGTTAATTATGATCTAATGTGACTATAATCAATAATTAAGATATATATACACTTATTTAAACAGGTATGCATGGTAGAGTTTCTCACAATTTTAAGGGCAATGGCAAAAGTGGAGGAGCTTTTCTCTTCATCTGCTTCACTTGAATAATCAAATTAATGCTTCACTTGAATAATCAAATTACTGATTCACTTGAATAATCAAATTATTTGAATTGAATTTGTATTTAACTCGTTAAAAATATATTCATTATGCAAACAAGACAAATTTGAACAAAATTTAAAACTTGTTAATTTTTTAAGCCAGATTTTCTTTGTTTATTTTCTTTGTTTGACTTGGTTAAAGTTTGTTCGAGACGGACTCATTACGTAAACAAGTTAAATTTAAATATATTTTAAATTTCGTTAAGTTTTTAAGTCAAACTTAAATAACTTATTATTTGACTCTCGTTTATAATCCTATCTATCAGGATGAATATTAGGACATAAAATAAATTGATGCCCCCTCTATTTTTCCAAACATGAATCATTTATTTGTGAGGTGTTTCATGTGAGCACTAATCAGATGATTATGAGGCATGACATGTCAATGCCATGGATGGCACTCAATAAGTGTTTCTATAGGCACATGGATGGTGGGTCTGAACTCTGGCTAATGGATAGTGTGTGGACTGTGGTTCAAAAACAACCTAGACAGTTGCTTGGCAATTTGAATTATTTTCTTTACTTGAAGCCAAGACTGTGGTGGCTTATAGGCTTCATGCAACTCATGGAAAAAAATAATTCTGGGTGGCTGTTTACAAGCCTCGTGCGACTCATGGGGGAAAAAATAAAATAAAAATATGAGAATTATTTTCTTTACTTGAAGCTGAGACTGTGGTTGGCTTATAGGCTTCATGCAACTCATGGAAAAAAATAATTCTGGGTGGCTGTTTACAAGCCTCGTGCGACTCATGGGGGAAAAAATAAAATAAAAATATGAGAATTATTTTCTTTACTTGAAGCTGAGACTGTGGTTGGCTTATAGGCTTCATGCAACTCATGGAAAAAAATAATTCTGGGTGGCTGTTTACAAGCCTCGTGCGACTCATGGGGGAAAAAATAAAATAAAAATATGAGAATTATTTTCTTTACTTGAAGCTGAGACTGTGGTTGGCTTATAGGCTTCATGCAACTCATGGAAAAAAATAATTCTGGGTGGCTGTTTACAAGCCTCGTGCGACTCATGGGGGAAAAAATAAAATAAAAATATGAGAATTATTTTCTTTACTTGAAGCTGAGACTGTGGTTGGCTTATAGGCTTCATGCAACTCATGGAAAAAAATAATTCTGGGTGGCTGTTTACAAGCCTCGTGCGACTCATGGGGGAAAAAATAAAATAAAAATATGAGAATTATTTTCTTTACTTGAAGCTGAGACTGTGGTTGGCTTATAGGCTTCATGCAACTCATGGAAAAAAATAATTCTGGGTGGCTGTTTACAAGCCTCGTGCGACTCATGGGGGAAAAAATAAAATAAAAATATGAGAATTATTTTCTTTACTTGAAGCTGAGACTGTGGTTGGCTTATAGGCTTCATGCAACTCATGGAAAAAAATAATTCTGGGTGGCTGTTTACAAGCCTCGTGCGACTCATGGGGGAAAAAATAAAATAAAAATATGAGAATTATTTTCTTTACTTGAAGCTGAGACTGTGGTTGGCTTATAGGCTTCATGCAACTCATGGAAAAAAATAATTCTGGGTGGCTGTTTACAAGCCTCGTGCAACTCATGGGGGAAAAAATAAAATAAAAATATGATTAAACTATTAATAGGTTCTAATAGTTAGACTTAGGGGTTGTTTGGGATGATCTAACTAAGTGTACTTTTTGTCTTTTTACGAAAAGATATGCAGAAAAGTAGAGAGGTGATGTGATGGAAAAAAGATACAAAGATAAAAAGATGGATTATTTTGTTAATGCCAAACTTGGCCTTAATTCCCATCAAGTTCTATTGAAAATAAGTCTTGGTAAAATTGTCACTAAAAATAATTTTTTTGTGACAATTTTTTACATACGTCGCTAAAAATTGACAATTAGTAATTTTTTTCTCATGATTTTTTATAAATTGCCATTAAAACTTACAATTAGTGACTTTTTTTACGATAAATTTTTTTCATAGGACCTATTAGACAATAAGTTCACTTATTATGACCTACACATACGTACCTTAAAAATAAAAATAACAATTGTGTCAAGCAATTCTTATTTCGATCTCGTTGACACAGGAGTGGGGCTAGGATTCTATCTTGAACATTTATTTCTCAGCCACACCATTGATTTTAATTACTTTTTTTTAATCTATGGATTGCTGGTTTTGAGGCCTCATGCAGCTCATGGAAAAAATTAATTCTAATAATATTATTATTGTTACTTTGATCTTGTTGATGCATCTCTCAGCCATGCCACGCAATGTGATTTTAATTTTAAAAAAATTACGATTCAAGATAAAGAATTCAGATGCTAACAAGTAATTTTGAGGTATAAGAAAAAGAATAATAAATATATTTATGTATTATATAGATAAATAAAATAAAATGTTATTTTATAATTTATCGATAAAAAAAATTAAAATTTAAGCAGTAATTATTAACGGTTATTATTTTGTGAATTAACTTTCAAGTGGTTATAAGATTATAGGTAAATTTTTTTAAAATTATGAAGGATATTCTTACCCTACAAAAAATAAAAATTTCAATATACTAACTTCAACCTTTACTTTAAATATAATATTATACTTCCTTTTCAGGTTTTCAATATTTTGTTTGATTTTAGAGTAAATTACATTATTAGTCTCTTTAATTTATACGAATGAACACTTTAAATTCTCTAGTATATATATATAGTTGCAAAGTTTTAGATATCAAATTTTATTGGGTAAATTGCAATTCAGTGTATGACAAAAAAATAAATTGCATTTCAGTGGTAAAATTTACCCATTTTAATAATTAAAGTATTAGATTTTTTTTTCATAATTTTGTAGTTTTTTTTTTTAAAAAAATTCTCATTGATTTGTAATTTTTTCAACTTTATTTATAAGATCTTGTTTGAAATAATATGAGAAATTACAATATATACGCTTTTAAAAAGGGTGTATCATATATATCTCTACTTATGTTATTTTTATTTTAGTTATGACTAATTTTTTCCTTTGATTATGACATTATTTTAGTTATAATTTATGAGATTTTTAATTATGTCTCATATTAAATTTAGTTATGATATATTTTTTTACAAAAATATTTGAGAGCTTTAAAGAAGCTCTAATGGGTGAAACCCACCCATTGATTTGATGTTTTGGTAGTTTTTATTTATTTTTATTTATTATTATTATTATTACCTTACCATCTCATTAGAATTCCTAGTTAGAGTCCCAAGTTTAGAGTTATGTATCATTGTTAATTCTTTTAAAGGAATAAATGTTGAGAATTCTAATTTTGAAATTCTACAAGAGTTTTAGTGATGCGGTAAATAGTGGCGCCCACATGTGATGCGACGTATGTATCTATGTTTTTGTTTTTAACTTTTGCCACATCACTAGAACTCTAAAATTAGAGTTCTATATCATTATTGTTTTAAGCTGT